CCCATTCGGTGGGGTGGGACGGATCTCCCTGGGGACACTGAGGTGGCCCTCGGCTGCGAGGGTGTGGGGACGGCCAGGCTGCAGACGGTTCTCAGCTCAGCCTGGGGAAGGCCTGGCCCTTCCCACGCCCCTCCTGGAATTCGGGGCTGCTCCTGGGAGTTGAGCAGAAGCGTGACTTTCCCTCTGGAGTCTGAGGTCAGCCAGCCTCCCAGGACCGGGCCAGCATTCCTGACTGGGAGCCAACACAAGCAGGGGGCTCAGGGGCCCCCGAACCCCCGCCATCTGACCGCTCCTCGCTTTGGTTCCTTTCGGGAAGAAGGTGTCTAATGCCAGAAATTCCACGCTGGGGGAGCGGACGTAAATACCAAGGCTCCGCTCTTTGGGAGACGCTGTGCCGGTCACCTGTGCCTGCTGCTGTGAGAGAAAGTGACACAGGACGTTTCAGAGGGGTGAAGGGGAGTTTCGTTCTGACTTGATGTGCCAACCAGAGGGTGTGGCCTTCGGTGTAAACCACACACTTGCTCTAAGATGGGAAGGATGAGGCAAGGGTGTTAAAGGTGACAGTTGCCAGCAGGTCAGAAGGCTGGTCGCTAGGGGAACAAGACCATAAACAGCCACCATTCATCCCCTGATTGGTGGGGGCACCTGGGTTTTCAGGGGTCAGCTGTGCGATGAGAGCAAAGGGTAGCTCCGATTGGTCAGCAGAGGGGGGCTCGCAGGGCGGGGCCAAAGCCTCAGTGTCTCGTGACGTCTGGGGAACAAAGCAGCACAACTTCCCTAGTGAAAGGGGCAACTCAAAGGACGTGGTCAGTCAAGGTGAACTGAGTGCAAACCCAAACGGCCTAAGCGCTGGAGCAGGATGGGAGACCAAGTCTCAGAAAGGTCACGAGTCGTGACATCAGCATGCTCACTGCAAACAGTGTCACCGCTGACTCACTGAGGCAGCCCAGGGCCTGGGAGGAGGCCCAGGGGACTCTGGGGGACAGAGGGGCAGCCCGGCCCCACTGGGACGGGGCCGGGGCGGTGCCTCTAAAACCAGGAACCACCAGTACGAAGCCCCTCCTAGTGCCAGCGTCCCATCCGCCCCCCCCACTGTTGCTCCTGCCCAAGTCCTCGAGGGGGCCGACACCCCTCCCACCTCAGGATCCAGAACCGACACTCAAAGAGGGTCAGGGCCTTGCCCACGGTCCCATGACAGGGGCGGGGCTCCATCACGGGGCTCCATCACGTCGGAGATGCCGGCACAGAGCTGACCTCAGACGCTAGACGCAGCCTCTGAGGCACCTACAGGCCCCGCCCAGGGGCAGGGGGGTGAGGCGCAGAGGGGGGCCTTCACATAGCAAAACTCCAGGGGGACGGCCAGACCACACCAAAGCTAGGCCCCTTGGAAAGGCCAAGTGTCCCCTCTTGCTGGGGACAGGGTGTGAACACGGATTCCTGCGCAGGCTCCTGGGACCCCTCTGGAGGCAGATGCCTTCCCTGGCGGCTGAAGAGAGGCGGGACGGGAAGTCTGAGGCCCTTGATTCGGAAAGGTCTAGAACTGGCAGGCCGTAGCCCAGGAGGGGGAGGGGGAAGGGAAGGGGGGAAGGGCTGAGGACAGCGGGCCAGCTGCCCCCAGCCTTCTGGAAGCTTCCCCTGGGTGCATTTAACTGCCAAGGTTGAGGCTCTGTTCCCATAGTGGATGCCTGGAATATTCATGTTTTCCATGCCCCTGCATGGGAGCCCCTCCCTATCTTTCCCCCGCCCCCCTTCCTTCTCCCTCCTCTTCCTCCTGGGCCTCCTCCTTGTGAAAATTTGCCCACAGACAAGCCGTGATGCTGAGGAAAGAGTCAGGACCTGGTTCGAATCCTGGCTCTGCAGTGCAGGAGCTGTGTGATTCAGGAGTGGTCACTGCCTTCTCTGAGCCTCTTTTTCCTTTTCTGTAAGACGAGACATAGTATCTACCCGATGGGCTGTTTGTGGGGTCGGTGAGCTCACAGGGGCCAGGCCCACTTGCCCTGGAAAGTCACTGGGTCTGGGTCCTGGGAAATAATTTTGAAAGGAAAGGGAAGAAATCCTTTTGTCTTTGAGAGGCCCTAGTACGTGGATAAAGGTACTAAATGTCTCTGAGTCGAGTTTTCTGTCCTATAAAATGGAAGGAGTGATGGCCCTGCCTCAGAGAGAGGTCCTGAGGGCTCAGTGACGTAGGGGACGCCCTCGGCACGTGGTCAGTGCTCACTGAGTGATCTGTGGTTATCACTGGGGATGATTATTTGTCCTGCAGGAACACAAGGAATGAGGCGAAGAGAAGTCTCCACACACGCGCTGCACTACGGCAAAGCTCCTCCCAGGCTGCGCTTCAGGCAGCAGGGCGGTGAGTCGGGAGTGGGGAGGGCCAGGGCACAGACTCTGGGCCCTGCAGCATCGGGCGGAAGTAGCAGGTGCCGGGGGCACAGCCCAGGCGTTGGTAAGAGGCCGAGCCGCCAGGATAAAGGAGGATGCGCCACTAAATGATCCAGAACATTTACGCCTTGAATTCGGTCTGGTCCCAGCAGCCTTAGAACTTCACTGGTCTGAGCACATCTGTTTATGGGTCTGCCTTCCACCCCAGACAGATGGTTCTAGATGGTTCTGGAGGGGAAAGTCATGTCATAGCTAGTTTTTTAAATCAAGTGCAGGCACGTGACCGAGATCAGCTCAGGGATTGGGCTTTTGATCTGAGGGGTCCAAGAAAGTTAGGCCTGGGACTTCTCCTGAAACTCCCTTAAAAATTAATTAACTAATTAATTTTAGAGAGGGGGAAGGGAAGGAGGGAGAGAAACACCAATTGGTTGCCTCTTGCATGTGCCCCAACTAGGGACCAGGCCCAAAACCCAGATGTGTCCCCTGACCGGGAATTGAACCGGTGACATTTTGCTTTGCAGGACAGAACCCAGGCCACTGAGCCATACCAGTCAGGGCTCCTGAAACCTTTTAAAAGGGTTACTAAACTGGCATGATATGTTAGGAGCCATGAGGCCATCTTGGCTACCTCAGAGGGAGAAGCTGTCCGTGAGTGACGTCCACCTAGAGGAAAGCAGAACTGAGAGACATGCCCAGTGACATCATGTGAACACCTGGATTCAGCCATTCCTGAAGCTTGCATGACCTGTTTAGTTGTGTAAGTTCTTTCTCAAACTAGGTTTTTCTTGCACTGGGTTCTAGTCTCTTATAACCAAAAGAGCCTAGATTAATATGGTTCCTCCCTCTCTCCCAAACCTTTATCATTTTTTTTTTAAAGAAAGTCTTGCTTATTAGATGGCACCTACAGAAATGTCCCCTGGCCCCTGGAGAAGTGGGTGATACCACAGCAAGGACACTTAGGAGCAGAGTGAGGAGCTCCAGCTCTGGGAAGACCGCGCCTCTAACGCAGGGTTTCTTTGGGCTGATAAATGCTGGTTCACTGTTGATACCTTACGGCTGCTAAAACAGTCTCACCTGCCCAGGGGACAGGCCTGGGCAGCCCCTCCAGCCTCTCCCTGCCCCCGGCCCCCCACTCCTGATAGCAATGCCAGACTTCATCCCAGGAATCTGGGCCCTAAAGCCCAACCTGGAGGAAGCCCAACCAAACTGGCCAGCCTGGCGGAGCCCTGGCTAGAAACCCGCCGGGCCTTATCTCCCCCAGGACTAAATTTGGACACTGGACCCAGACAATCATTTTGGGAATTCCTGACGGATTCCAGCAAGAGCCAGTGGTGCTCCTTGGGCTTCACAGAGCAGGAAGGTCATTTTTTTCAAGTAACAGTTAAATCAAAAGTAGTCATTGGTCGTTATAGAAAATTTGGAAAACACAGGGGGAAAAACTCACCGGAAACCCCATCATCCCCCAGCCCCAGCCTGTGGATGTTTTGCTTCTTTTCTGTTGCCCATCTGATGTACGTTCAGGGTTTTGGGCTGTTTTTCCTTTCCCCATCCATGATTAGAATGTGTGTAGTTTCAGATCTTCATTTTCCCACCATGATTTGACATAAAGATGTCCCTGTGTTGAGAACTCTTTGTCCAGTGCCCCGTGCCTAGCAAATAACCTCAGTGATGTTCACGCCCATCCTGAAATCAGGAGCCCTTGTTCTTGCTTTGCAGATGAGGAAACCGAGGCACAAAGTGGTGTGAAGTGTCTGGCCCAGTGTCTCGGGGAGGCCCAGGTGTCTGGCTTGCCAGCCCACGCTATTCTGATACAGCCCACGCTATTCACCAGGCCTGTATCAGTAATTGTGGTTTACTTAGGCTTCCTTGGACAGAACCCTGTAGTTCTTGCCTGCCCAGCACTCCTTCCTTGCTCCAGTTTCTCCCAGGCACTGTGATTCCCACTCTCAGTTCCACGGAGGGCAGCTAGCTATTGGGTGGAGGTGAGGCCGTACCCTGGGTCTGACCAATCAGAGCACCCTATCTCCCTGGCCCCTGGGTCTGACCAATCAGAGCGCCCTATCTCCCCGGCCTGTGATGGGTTCAGGATAGAGCACAGTGTTCCAGGTTGGCCCAGGTGGGGATTGCTGACAGGCCCGCTGTGTTGAGAACCTGCCTGGGAACAGGCCGCACCCAAGGAGGGCAGAACAAAAAGGGCAAAAACCAAGTCCTGTCACAACCCCTCAGACTCTGGATCCCATTGCTCCTGAAGCAGGTTCTTGAGTTCTGCTACTAGACTTCTCCATTACCTGAGCTTTTTAATCCCATGAAAAGCCTTTTGAGTTCGGTTTCCATCCCTTGTAGCCAGGAGCTCTGGTCACGGGGCAGTGGTGTTTGCGCCTAGTTTTTTACCCTTATAAATGCTGCTGCCACAAACACCTACACATACAAAATAACCTTTGATGGGAGTTACTTCCTTGTGATATTTTTGCAGGAGTCACTTGGCACAAAGACCTGACATTGTTAGGCTCCAAGGACATTTTGCAAATGGTTCCTCCAGGCTGATGGGAATTTGGGGCTCCCACCTCTACACCCCAGTGATGTAGACAACTGCACCATGAAAAACTTCACTGAAAGGCTTTCTTTTTTAACCAGCCAGGTTGTATTTTCTTTTTTGTTTGTTTTTTTTTAAACAGGAAACTTCTGTTAATATAAAACAGATAAAAACAGACCAAAAAAAATCCAAACACACCTCACACAGAAAGCACAACACACAGAAACCAGTGCAAACCCTTCCCAACCCACGTTGCCCCAAGTTTGAACACCTTGGTTACAGTTCCCCAAAGGTCAGACTGTATTGGAGAGGTCACAGTATTGAATCAGAAAAATATGGACCAGAAGAGCAGGAGACATTTTTTTTAAAAGCTCTGCACACAGGTAGTGGGGTGTGCGGGGGACAGGACGCTCCGCCCTCGGAAACCCAGTGCGGAGGGATTTCAGCGGCTACCACTGAAGGTTTCTAGAACACTACAGTGCATGCCGGTCCCCTGCCCGCTTTTGAAAGTCGCTTTTAAAAAGGATAAAAAGTGCACAGACACTTTCATAAGGCACAGACAGATTGTCGTACAAGTCACTGCATTAGGGACTTGGAAAAGACAGTGAGAAAATGAAATTCCGAGAAGCTGGGAGGCCCCATCTGCCAGGAAGGGGGCAGAGAGGGGGTCTCCCAGACTTTGCACAACCCCTTCCGAACTGGAACTGCCCCGGGGTCTTCCCAGAACTTGGGGACTGACTTCAGGAACCGGTCCCAAGGCCTGAGAGGAGCAGATAGCTGTCTCCTCGCATGTCCCTGGCACAACCCGAGAATGGTCATCCCCCAGGTGGGGACTTTGGGGGTTCTGGCCCAGGCCATCTGGCAGCAGCTCACCAACTGCGAGGCACCCGGCATTCCTAATGCAGAGGAGGCCGCTGGAAGGAGGCCCTGGGTCCAGAGAGCAGCTGTCGGGCACTCGCCAAGACAGACCCCAAGGGAACAGGATGGCCAGCGACGTCCGCCCCAATGTCTCATCCCCCCTCAACGTCTCCCCCTCTGGCCTCAGACCTAGGGCGCTGTCCTCCGAGCGTCCCACCCCTAGTAGGCATTCAGCAGATGTTTGTTGAATGACTCCGTGTGCACATACACCTGTCTTATCGACACCTTGAACACTCATAACCTGACTGCTCACTTACTCAGCAAAACTTTCATGGGTACCTATTACGTGCAAGCACAGGAGCGGATACTGGAGGAATCAAGTCAAATGCAAGAAATCGGTCCATCTCCTGCTCTGCAGTGAGAGCTCCGTGCGGGCCTTTTCTTTCGTCCCGGTCCCCAGCCCTGCGCCCAAACACGCACCACACTGCCCCATGAGTGATGAATGGCTGGGGAGGTGATGCTGCAGTTCGTGGGGAGCAGCGGGCCCGGGGAGCTGAGTCCTGGAAGACTCCCAGTTCTGGGAGTGGACCAGAAAAAGAGGCTTCTTTTGACTTAGAAACAGCCCAGTTTCTCTGACAATTCAAAAAACTCCAGCCGAGGCCACAACACAGGGGTATCCTCTGGTCTCTTCCAACCCACTGCTGGAGGTCATGAGGCCCAGGAAGGTGCTGGGACAAGGCGTTTGGCCCTCCTCAAAGCTGCCCCACATGGAGGCCCCGGACTGGACCCAAGCTCCCACACAGTTCAGCTTAGTGCGGAGAAGACGAGGAATAGACAGAGGAGCCTAAAAGGAAGGACACTTGTCCTTCTGGACTGTGGGTAGCCTGGGGGCCACAGCCAGGGGTTGGGACTCTCCACCCAGGAGAGGCGCCCAGACTCTCTAGGTGTCACTGGGACCAGTTTCCAGGAAGAAAACTCAGGCAGCCCCACCCTCCTGGAACCCAGGCCAAGCACCGGAGGAGGGGATTCAGCACCACCCACCCCTGGGTGTGCATCCCAGCCCCGCCACGCCCTGCTCTGGGATTCCACGTCACTCCCAGGACCTCAGTTTTCGTACCTGCCAAATGGGGGTAATCCCATGTTTCATGGATTCTAAGTAACAGGGCTCCCCGCCACATTTCAACAGCTCTGGTGGGGACGGGCTGTATAGCGGTGGCATCTCACAGTTACAGCTGGCAGCGTTTTTCCTTGGAGGTACCCCAAATGCTGTGTCTTATACTCGCTGTCATCGTTGTAGACATGACCCCGGATGGCAATGGGCCCGGGCTCCAGGGGTGCCGTGTTGTGGCACCCCCTCCCGGCACTGAGGCACAGAAGAGACCAGAGGGTCCCTCTCCCTCCTCTTGCCCCCCACTCAAGACAAAGCCTGAGGGCACAGCGAGCAGCTCTTTTGGAGAGCTGAAGAAATCAATTCAGAGCATCAGGAAATGCCTGCTTTTTAGGAGATAAACACGCCCTTAATTCCTCTTGGAGGCAGGAAACTATTTATAGCAACTGCAGAGCAAGTCAAACAGGCTGCTCACTCCTTTCACCCAGGTGACAGGTTGCCAGGGACGCAGCCTGACCCACCCTGGGCCCAGGCCCTTGGTTGCTGGTTTCCTGGTGGTGTCTGTATGTGATCCTGGCTGGAACCCGAGTCGGGGAGGGGTCAGGAAGGGCAAGTGGCAGGAGACAGGAGCTGGTTCCCCAGGCCGCCGAGACCACCGGAGCTCGTGACTGTGGCTCTGGCAGGTCAGGGGGCCTGCTGCCTGGAGAACTACAGTCCTGGGGGGACAGGGGGACAGTCCTCCCACACAGGGCCTTTGCCCACAGCCAGCACACGGGGGCAGCGGAAGGCTCCAGAAAGCTCCAGCTGAGTAGGCTCAGCAGGGCCTCAAATGTCATCTGGATTCTCACACTCTCATTTTGGCAGCTCCCCCCCAAAGATTCTGTTGCAAAAATTAAAATGGGGGCGTGTTTCCCAAATTCCCTGGGGCAGAAAGGACCAACCAGGGGTTCTTGCAGGGGAAAAAGCAGGACTTCTGCCGTTGGCATCAGAACACTGTGGCCACTCCCAGACAGAGAAGCAGGCTGGAGCGCCAGCACCAGGGCACGGCCCACTGGCCTCGAGGGACCTGCCGAGGGTGCGGCCCGGCTGGGCTCTGAGCCCCCAGACACCCAGCAAACGTGAGGGCCTGAGCTCTGAACATCCCCCTTCTCCTGCCTCCCTCAGCAGGTGAACGACAGGTTAGGAATTCTAATGAAAACACCACCTGCTCTTTGCAAGGGTCTCAGACCCTCAGAACTTTGTGCTGGTCCTCCCAAGGGCTCCGGAGTGGGCAGGTGCCAGGCTTCCTTTGGGTCAGACTGGGGACTTGCCCAAAGGCCCAGCCCAGGACAGGGTGGAGGTATGGGGCCCAGAACTGGGGGGCAAGAAGGAAGGAGGCGGCGAGGGCAGGGCTAGGGGCCCAGGAAATGCCTAGCAAATAGCCCTGGGTAGGGGGACAGATGCCAAGGTCAGGATTCTCAGTTAAAATCTCAGTTACTAGTTAACATCCCAAGGACCAGTGAACACCTTAGTGATCAGCAGGGGAGGATAAGCTAAGAACGAAGACCGTTGCAAAGCCTGGTTCCTCCTGCTTTGCCAGCAGGTTGCCCCGGTGATGCCCGCAGGCACGGGGTCACAACAGAAGGGTGGGGAGCTGGCCGTGCCCTGCAGTGGCCTCTCCAGCTCCAGGTGAGTCCCTACCTCTGGGTTTCTTTCCCTCCCCTCCCCCCCCCAGGAAAAGATAGACCTGTTGCTCGTCTTCTCCTTGGACATGGCGGGCCATTGCAGACCCAAAGCATCTAGGGCACAGGGTCAAGTGCAGTGTGCTTATCATTAGGCTGTCTGGGGGTGGGGGTGGGGTGGAAAGGCTTCTGGGGGTCGCCCTGCCCAGAGCTCCCCTGCAGCACCCATCCAACCGCCTCTCCGCCTCTCCGGGAAACCAAACAAGCAAATTGTTCTTTTTATGTTCTCCGCCCACCTAACCCCCCGAGGAATTGCCCCGCCGGAGCGGTAAACAGTGAGCTGTGTTTTCCTCCTCTTAGAAAATCTGAGCGTCCCTTTTCCATACCATCCCAGGGAGTTCTGCTCTGGGGCAGCCTGTGTCCGCTCAAGACCAGCTGACGTTGCAGCCCCAGAAAGTGAACAACTCCTAGTCCCGCTGGTGTCCGACCTCCGGACGGCACACTCCTTAGTGTTACATAAACTCCCGGGGCCAGGACCCCCGGGGAAATACCTATGCGCCCCCTCTCTCCTTCCCACACACATGCCCTCTCCCTCCTCGGCCGCCCTCCCTCCCCTCCCCCTCCTCGGACACACACAGCACCACGCACCACTCCACGGGCCCCCCAGCAAAAAGCACTGCGCAGAGGACACTGTTCCCCAGCCGGGAGGTCACCAGAGAGATGGGCGGTCTGCCAGGCAGTTCCCAAGTTTGCTCTTGGGGTGGCATCTTGAGGACAAAGCACTTTGGAGCTGGAAGCAACCCTCGCTGGGCCCCAGACCCCCGGGGCCCTGTCTCCATGATTGTCATGCCTCTTGCCCAACACTGGGGAGTGACAGACGAGATGACCGCTGCCCTTGGACTCCCTTGTGGCCATGGTGGTTGCCGGGCCCCGAGGGGCTTCCGTAGGTGACCTTGCTCCGGCCGAGGCCCGTGCGAGGGCCGGGCTACGGCCTGTAGATCTTAATGACGTCTTTGATGGGCCGCCGGCAGATGGGGCAGCAAGCCCGGGGCTGCCTCCGGAGCCGCAGGCCGCAGCTGTGGCACAGGCACATGTGTCCGCACGTGTAGATGACCGTGTCCACCTCGCCGTCGAAGCACACCGTGCACTCGCCGTTCTTGCTGCCCGCCGGCTCCGGTGGGGGGAACACGGGGGAGACCGGGGGGCTCAGCGGGGAGCTGGGGGCTGTCACTGCAGGGAGGAACACCAGGCCAGGCCTGAGTCATGGGGCTCGAGGGCGGGTTCGGCCGGGGCCGCCCCGATGATGGCGGAACCCATGGGGGAAAGGCCCCGGGAGGCACTGATGCTGGGTTTTCTTCTGGATTTTGCCCCTTTTCCTACCCTGTTCCCCCCGAGCCTCAAGCACCAATGGCACCTTTTGGGGTGCCGTATGTCTCTCCTCCCCTCCGGCTGAATGCAGGGCGGGAGGCGCCGGCACAGCCCGAAGAGCCGGGCCAGCCCCTGTCCCCACCCACTCCAGGGTCTGGATGTCCTTACCCAGGGATGACTCGGATGCCGAGGAGGACTGGTTGACACTGAAGGCCATGTCGGAATCGCTGTCGTCCTGCGAGCCGCTGAGGGACCCCGACGGCGACGGGATGGCAGGGCCAGACTGCAGGGTACCTGAGACCAAAGAGACCCCGTCAGGTGGGCGCTGCTCTGCGGGTCCCCGGCTCTGCGCTGCTTTGCACCTGAGCCTCCCGGGCTGTCTCACGGGAGGACGAGAGCTACCCCACAGGGTCCGATGGACTCCTACAGGCGTGGTGGACGCCGGTTACTTGCCTGCCCAGCCACCATCCCCCTTTATTTCTGGGCCACAGCACTGGGGTTTGCTTCACTCACGCCGCCCGGGGCCGGGCCAATGAGAACTCCCATCCCTTGGCTTCAGTGGCAGTTCCGGGAAGGCCACGCAGCCCAACAAAGGCCGGCAGCGCTGCCCGTGAACGTCCCCTCCAACTCTCACGAAAGGGCTCATTCTGCCAGGAGCTTAGCCTGGCACTGCAGGGCCTGCCCGAGCGAAGCCAACACAGGGGACCGTGAACGTCCAGGTGGAAAGAGGGACCAACTCCTAATGGCCCCCTTTCAACATCTCGATGAAACCGCAGTCGCCGTTGTTATGGTCGCTACTCACTAAACTTGCTGTGGGTGGCGCTGTACCCACCCCGCCGTTTCACCCTCACACCCCTGGGAGGCAGGAAATTGCTTCCTTTTCTACACAGGAAATAGAGGCTCCGACTGGCCCAACCAACGGCAGGACTGGGACCGTGGTTAAATCTCTCTGTGCTTCAGTTTTCTCATCTGTACACGGGACAGCAGAGAGTTCACGCCCTCCACAGGAGGACAGGTTGGATGAGGTTACATGTGCATGCTCATCATGTCTGTTGTCATTCGGACTCTAAACTTCCTGGACCATGGAAATGGAGCTGCGCCCTCCGGGAACCTTCCCTGACCCCCTCCCCCTCCGTGGGGCGAACAGCGCCTGCGCCCTGCCCTCCGACCCGCCCGCCTGGTCCGCAGCTGGCGGGGGCTGCGTGACTGCCCAGGGCATTAATGAAGGCGAGAATCACCTCCAAAAAGGGTGGCTCAGGCCTCCGTGTCATTTTCCGTGGATGAGGTTGTTCTTATTTCCTGTGAAGTGCAGTTGTGTGTCCTTTTTCTCCTACACTTCATATGCATTACGCAGATAAAGAAATAAAAAACCCTCCCTCCCGGTCACAACAACAGGAATAAAGATTGTACTGGCCATTTATCAACTGCATAAAGCCTGCCAGGCCCTGACAGCGACGGGTACTTAGTGGGGTGTGGACAAAGGGAGCAACCTAGGCGCCCAGGTGCACGCGTGGGAAAGACCTCACCTCGGCCCCGCCCCACTGAAAACTCTAGGTGGGGGTGGGTGGTTCTGATGTGCGCTCACGTTTGGGAACCGCTGTCTGGGCTGCAGCGAGGTCCGGGCACTCACCGAGGAGGCGCAGCTGGCCGGCGGCACCCCCGCGCACGGCGAAGAAGGCCCAGAGTGCCTGCGTGGTGTCCACGCACATCAGGCGGCCTCGTGGGCGCCCGTTGACACCCAGGTGCACGTCGCCACCAGGCCGTAGCGTGAAGCTGAGCGAGTCGCCGCCGCTGGTCACCGGTCCGGCGCGCGCCACCACCCAGTACTCCTTGCGGTCGAGCAGCGAGTCGGGGTCGGCAGGCAGCTCGGTGGGCCGGAGCCCGCCCGGGTCGCACGACGTGATGCCGAAGGCCAGCGTGCCGGGCGCCTGCAGCCCCGGGCGGCCCACCTCCACGAAGAGGCTCTCCCCGGGCCGCAGCGGGCGCTCCGAGAAGACGAGCGTGCGGCCGCCGTCGGGTCGCGGCGCGCAGGCCACCTTGCGGTCAGTGGACAGGCACACGTCGGGCCCGCGCATCACGTGGAAGCGCAGGTCGGCCTCGAGCAGCGCAGGCGAGGACGCGGGGCGCTGGCGCTCGCGGGGGCCGCACGGGATGGCGGAGACCACGTTGTCGGCGGGTGGAGGGCCCGGGGCGCGGGCCAGTGCCAGGTGGCCCAGCTTGGCCACCACCTGGTTGTTCTCCAGCTCGTTGTTGTCGAAGTTGGCGGCGTCGAGACTGCCGGGCGGCGGGCAGGCACTGAAGCGGGCCTGGCTGATGCGCGCGGGCGGCAGTGTGTCGGCGAATGCGCTCTCTGTGCCGGGACAGAGGAAGGCCAGGTGAGAACGTGGGCCCAGCCACCAGAGCCCCCTGCCCGGCTGCCTGTCAGCAGGCTCCATTATTTTTCTGGTTCATTTGTGAATTGATTTAAGAATCAGGGACGCACAGGATTGGATTCAGCATAAGCCTTAGTTTCTTGGACACATTCTTACCTTTGGAGTGGGCAGATAAGGCCCTTCCTCCCTCCCTCTCTTCTCTTCATCCCTCTTCTCTTTCACCTTTTTTCTCCACCCCTCCACCTTTTCTTCCCTCCTTTTTTCTCCCTATCTTCCCTCCTTTCTTCTTTCTTCCTCTCCTGCCTCAGAGGTTTCGTGCTTTTAAAGGTTGAAAGGCCATTTGAAAACTCTTTACTGTTCCCCCAAGTGGAACACAAGCTCCAAGAAAAAGAGGGACCCCTTTGTTGCCCTGTGTCTGTGGCCTTACCCAGAGACTGGTGCTATTTTAAGCCCCTTTCAGGAGTTGGCTCATTGAGTCCTCACCCAGTCTGTGAGGTGTGTCCTGTAGTAACAAGACTCCCTTCTTGGCTCTCGCCATTGAGCCAAGAAGGGAGTTGAGGCACAGAGGGGTTCAAGACTATGACCAAAGTCACTCGGCAGCTAAGTGGCAAAGTCAGGCCGAGAACCTCTGCAGTCTGGCTCCCGAGAGCTGGCCCTCCAGCACAGGCTGACTCTGAACAATGGCAGCCTGGAGCACACACCCAGGTCGTGCTCAAATGCTGAACATAGAAGGTTTCTGTAAGGGGTGGACTTCTTTAAAAAAAAATAAAATAAAAGGGAGTTCCTTTCTTTTCCTTTTTAAAAGAGGGGAAGGGAGGGAGAAAGAGAGGGAGAGAAACATCATTGCGCAGTTGTTTCTTGCCCGCCTCCTACCAGGAACCTGGCCCACAATCCAGGCATGTGCCCTGACTGGGAATTGAACCTGAGACCCTTTGGTTCTCAGGCCAGCGCCCAATCCACTGAGCCACCCCAGCCAGGGCCCTAAGAGGGAGTTTCTTAAAAGCCACAGCCGTGAAAATATTTTTGCATCATTTTTAGGGATATGAAAAAAAGGTTCTTGATACTACCTGGTATAGTGAAGTAAAAAGGCAAATTAACAGTATCCTTCAGGTCATAGAGACCCTTACACTCTGGTAGAGTAATGACTGTTTGTCTCCCCAGCTGGAACGTGAGTCCCCGGAGGGCGGAGTCTGGGCCTATCCTCTCACCAGAGTGATCTCAGGGCTTCGCCGGTAGTCGGCAAACAGCCCTCATTGCCATGCAGTTTATTGGATGGATAAGGTCCATCCAATGGGAAAGAAAAGAAAGTCATTAAAGTATTATGACTTTTTTTAAGTGATAAAAAATAGTCTTCTGAACCCTAAGTAAATAAAGCAAGAAAGCAGTCTTCCTCAAACTTTAAAACCAAATCCCTGTAGCTAAGATTTCGTTAAATGTTACCATTCTGTAATGCATTCTGTAACATGGAATAAAATACTTCTTTCTCTTCAGTTTTTCGAATATAAGAGGAAGCCGTGGTCTCGGACATGTGTTCTCCGAAGCCTGCCCCAGCCCTGGTGGGAGTCTGGCCCACACTCCTACCGCCCCCTACAGGGCAGAGGCTGCAGACCGGCAATCCGAGCTCTGACCCGGCTCACAGACCTGTTTGGTTGGTCTCCTGGTGTTTTACTGATTTTTTTTTCTTTTTGCTGTGTTTTTTGAAAAGCTAACCTATCCAGCTAGTATAATAAATGGGATTCCACAGCAACCAATTCACAGCCAGTCTTGTTTCACAGGCACCTCCACCGCCTCTCCTCCTGCGTTATTCTGAAGCAAATCCCAGGCATGACCTTTCATCTGCAAAAATCTCACTGTCTCCCTCTAGAGAAGGGCGGCACGCTCCGTCCGCGTCGGTTCTCACCGCCAGGATGCAGCCTTAGTCACCGCCGCCTCCATCCGAGCCAGCGCCACCGGTGTCTGCCTCCCCACGCCCCCGCCATCGCCCCTCCCGGACCTCGCACCTCGTAAACGTGGGCTCTTTTCTCACTGCCCGACTGTGGATCCTTGAGGATTTGGGCACGAGTTTGATTGCTGAGTGAGTGAGTGGATGTGTGAGTGAATGAATGAAGGAGCGAATGAATAAAAACGTGTGAATGAGTGAAGAAGGGAGCCAGTGGGCCGTGGAGCAGAGGGAAGAGCGAGGGAATGGATGCAAGCGTCAGCGGGTGAATGAGCAAGCCGCCGAACGCAGGAGCGAGCAGAGGGACGTGGGCCAGACCACAGACTCTGGCCCAGTTCGGCTTTCCGGGTCAAGTCATTAAACCTCTCTGTGTAACAGGGATGGCCAGTTGTCCTAAGAAATAAACGCTAAAGTATGCCAGTGGCTTATAATTATGCATGGCAAAGTGAGCCCACAATGTCACGAATACACGTCCAGGCAGACAGAGAACCCTCGCCTGGGCGGGAAGAGGCGGCGCCCCGCCCCCTTGCCGCGGGGACCGCGACCTGACCTACCGAGCAGCTGCACCTCGTCGGTGATGCCATAAACGTCGATCAGCGCCCAGAGTGGGCCGCCCACGGCCACGCCGCAGTGGAAGAGCACGGGCTCGCCGTCGTTGACGCTGTAGAAGACTCGGCCGTGTCGGTCCACCCAGTAGGCCAGCACGGTGTCGCGCAGCGCCAGGTTCTCAGGCAGTGCCTTGGCCCAGTAGCCGGGCCGCGTGACGAGGTCTGGGCAGGCGTACTTGGGGATGTCCTGCGGGCTCATGAGCGACGGGTCGTGCACCGTGAAGCCGAAGCGCAGCGCCCCGCTCCAGCCTGGGCGCACGGCCACCAGGCGCAGCCGCACCTGTTCGTACAACCGGATGGGCCGCTGCGTGAACGTGACCCCGTTGCAGAAGCTGTTGCGCCGCGTGGCCCGGCGCGAGTGGCCGTCCAGGCGCACGTTCTTGCCCTTGGCCTGTGCATGGAAGCGCGGGGCTTCGCCCAGGATGGGGCGCCGCTCAAGGCCAGGCCCACAGCACGGCCGGGTGGCCAGAAGGCGCGCTGGGGGGCTCGAGTCTGCGGGAAGAGACAGGCAGGAGGGTTAGGGCACCTCGGAACTGTGCGGCCCCTATTTGCTTTTTAATAATCATCTCCATTTTACCTTCTGTGTTAATTAGACCAGTAACTGATAAACTTGAGAAGGTTCCAGCCACCCCAATCAGCCCAGTACTACCACAGCAAAGTCACTGTGCCCACTTCACAGATGAGCAAGTGGAGGCTGTGTGCGTGTAGCCCTGTCCAGGGCTGTTTCACTCCCAGACGGACCAGCACCAATGAGCCCATCCCACAGCAGATGGGCTGGGGTCACCTGACTTCCATTCCCATGAAATCTTTCCAAATCTTCCTCCAAGGGACACTTCTGGGTTGCACAGTCTGGTCAAAGGCCACAGGGGCCTTGGATTCTTGGGGAGGAGTAAGGGGTCTTTGGCTGCTTCTCTCTGCGTGAGTTTTGTTCAAAGGCAAGGCAGGAAAGGCAACAGAGAGAATGAGGCCTCGGGACCCCTGGCAGTAGAAGGGAAGGTGGTGGCCGGGGAGCCCCGCTCTCCCCTCTTTCTGGCACCTCCCCAGCCTGTCTCCTTGCCTGGAAAACAGGGCCATTACTGAACTCACAGTTGCGGAAAGATCATGTGGATGAAGTTTCTAGAATGCTTCCTGGTACAAGGTATGTGCTTAACAGGCAACTAATGGTGTCCTGATGCCGAGGTTCCAAGGAGACCCGCGCTAGAATTCGGTGACTGCCCATTCCCTGTACCCACGGACAGTGAAGGCATCCTTTATAAGCAAGGTGGCTTTGCTAGAACATACACCTCTCGGGGTTCATTTCTAGCAGAACTTTGCCCCCAAGGACCTAGAGAATCTTGGAGTGGTCTCTTTTGAAGGATCTGGCAGCTGCTGGCCTTGAACCTGGTTGCTTGGGACTGAGATGAACCCTTAATCCCTCCCACCTTCCCTCCTCTGTCCCAGGGGCAGTTCCTAGGGGGCTCTACACCCGGGGCAGGGGGCGGGGAGGTGGGTAATTACTGCCCGAGTCTCTGCTGCTTGTTGCTCATTAACTGCAGGCCACCCCTGGCACACACTGGTCTATCATCCATGGGAGACCAATGTGCCCCAGGGGAGGACCGGCCACTACAGGGACCGTTCCTCCCATGCCCAGCCCTGGGGGTCACTGTGCTCTGGGCATATTTGGGGGGGTATTCATTAATACTGAGGCTACTGGGAGCGAGGGCGGGAGAAAGGGAAGAGGGGGAGGCAATGACCAGGCGAGTGCTCCGTGGCTTCCCCCCCGGGTCGAGGGGAAGGCCCCGGTCACTGCAGGAGGGAACCTGCTGAGAAGCCCAGGGGCCTCTCTCCCAGCAAAAGACCCTGACTCACAGACGGCAAAAACACAAGGAATAAAGCCAGGGTCTCACGTGAGAAAAGGAACTTAAGGGACCTGAGTCACCCATCCATCTGTCACAGGTTCAGGGAGCACCTAGTCCGCGCACAGGAAGTACAGCGGTCACTGGGACGGATCAGGCGCCCACTCGGTGCTCCTGCCGTCCCAGACTGCTGTACACAGGGGGACCACAGGGCCCAGAGGGGGCCCCAGACTCAACCAGGGGCTGGGGACAGCAGGTGACGCCCACAGAGCCGGGTCTTAAGGGAGGGGAGGGTATATCCCAGGCTGAGGGAACAGGAGGGGCAGAAGGGGGAAGCGGGACTCTGTGGGGAGGGTAAGTACTAGGGTAGGTGTGACAGAGGGTGGGCAGCCACTGCCTGTTGGGGGGAAGCAGGTGAGGTTGCCATGGACACCATGGGGACCAGACAAGAAGGCCCCATGTGCCAGCCCTAGAGGCTCAGACTGCACAGCGTAGGGGACAGGGAGCCATGGAGGGCTTCCAGCAGGCAGACTAGCACTGCCTGCCAGGGAGGGGCCGAGAGGCAGGGAGGAGCCGGTACCCAGAGCCAGCCTGTGGCCATCTCCGGGAAGGTAAGAAGAGCCAGGGCCCCCTGGAGAGCTATTTCATTAATGCAGAGCTCAGACGGGTGCAGCCGCTCAGGAAAGGCAGCCCCAGGGTTGCAGGGCCGATGCTCTGCCCACCCGCACGCACACACGTATGCCATGTCCTGTCCAAGCCACCAGCTTCTGGGCTGCAGCCACTTCCAGTGTCCGGCTGCCCGGAACCTCTCCAAGGTCCCCAGCACTGGCAAACTCTCCAGGAAACATTAAATATGACCACAGATCAAAGCCCTTCTGAGCACCAGAGGCCACAAGCCGCCCGTATTTGATTATTTTGAACTGCCCGGCTGCGGTGGTTGCTTTCCCAACCTTATCTCTCCATCGGCGAGTTTCTACACCAAACGGCTGGGGAATTCTAAGCAGAGGTTCTTGCCGAGTGCCCTCCTGATGCAAATGGGTGCCGGGGTGGGGAGAGATGCTGCTCCGTTACTATAAGGGGAAGTTTTCTGCGAAACCAACTATATGTTAGGGTAAAATGCAGCCAAGTAACCGGCGAAGTTTACATATTTGTTTAATCTTGATTATATGATCCAACTTCCTTGAGGGAATGAGGGATAAACACGATTTTCCCTCCCCCCGCTCTGAGGCCAGAGCCCTGATGTGAGTTAAAGAAACCCAGAGTGAAAAAGTCTCTAAGACGTGCTATTTACGCAAATCGAAAATGCTTAAAATGAAAGAACAATAAGCAACCTCCAACTTGTACACGAACATCTGCTTTTAGCTCGGCTTAGAGGAAGTGGCTTCTAGAAGGAACAGAACCGTGGGCCCCGGAGAACATCCTAGTTTGGAGGTGTCAGCGGGGAGCCTGAACCTCGGCATGCTTCACTGCTCTGGGTCCCCCCAGCTAGAGCTGGAAGACCCGTAAGAGTCATCTGCAGGGGGCAAGATCGCCGGGGATGAAGGAAGCAAGCTCGTCAGGCACTTGGTGCGTGCGTGGCACGTAGTAGGTGTTCACTAAAGACTTGGTCCCTTTTTAAAAATCACATTAGAGAAAAGATTTATTCCCAGATCAGGGATGTCTGCTTGTGGGTTCGGTGAATGCACGCTGAAAAGTTTCCCTGGTGGAGGGCCGGTGACCTTGGCCATGAAAGGCCCCTGGAAAACCCTGGGCTTTTTCTGCCTTGATGCCCGAAGATGGAGGCCTGTTTTTGAGCCTCCCCCGGAGTGTCTCCCATGTGCACTGCCCCCTCCCCCCACCCTGATGGGAATAAAGCCCGCTCATCGCCCCAGCCCAGCTTCTCCTTTGCTCTACAAAGAGCCCAAGGAAACCACCGGAACAATGGCAGAAAGCAACGGCTCTGGCTCCTCCAGCCACCGAGGTGGCAGCTGCCAGTGCGCTGGCAACTCAGCAGATGGCGACCCGGCTGAGATGTCCAGCAGATGCTGCTGCACAGGGAGGGAGGGTTGCCAGCGGGCACCCTGTCTATTCCGCCCGCTCCTCTCGCAACCAGCCTTCGGCAGAGCCCTATTGCCGTGCACTGGCCTGGGCTTCACGTGTGGGGTGCAGGCTTCAGGGAGACCCCGCACAGTCAGCTTCACCCCCTGCACTTCCCAGGTGAAGAAACTGAGGCTCTGAGAGGCAGCACCTCGGGGCAGTGGCAGGAGAGCCAGCGCAGGCCGATGACCCACACCCACCCCCTCTCCAAGGCAGCCCTGGGGCCCGGGGCCCGGGGCCCGGACCTTGAAAGATCTGTTTCTCTGAAACACACCGGCACTCCACACACACCATTTGACAGGGGCCTCCTGGGCCCAGCTAACGTCCACCTTCAGGCTGTGGACCTCAAGTGAGAAGTCTCGGATTCAAGCCACATGTGCCCGAGTCCACAGTTCAGACCAACACTGTAGGTGGTAGGAAGCCACACAGTGCACACATGTGGCGGCGTGTGCATTAGGGAGAAAAGGCAAAGCTGGCACTGGGTAAGGCTCCCCACCACCCCCGGCAGGGCCAGGCTGCCGGCTGCCTCGGCATCAGAGAGCGCCTCTCCCATTGGTGGGTTTGAAAGCGGGCTAGAAAAACAGTAACTGACGCTCTCTAGCCTCTGCCAAGTGGGACAGCGACATGCATCCAGGGGACAGAAGCCAGCTTAATGGGACTTTGTTCTCTGTTTCAGAGGCCTGCTCGGCCAGCACCCGGAATGGAAAGGGGCCAGCCCGCACTGGAAACCGTCACCCTGCTCTCCCCCGCCCCTCGTTTCTTTGCAAACAATATCGGGTCACCTCAGTGCAGCCAGTGACACTCCTGTCACCAGCTACAAGGAGGCCTGGCGGGAGGCCAGAGGTCACACAACACTGCTTGCTGGGAGAAAAGCCGGCTCCTTCCAGGCCGGCGTGGCAGCCCTCTTTGCTCAAGTGGGCTGGGTGTGCCGAGTGCCCAGGGGGTGAGGTCATCCCAGCGCCCCCTGGAAGCAGGCTGAGTGGCACCGGGATTCCCCAGCCTGTCCAGACCCCCTGCTGGGCCCCTCCGCCGAGGTCTCCTGATAAACGGGTCCAGGAAACTCCATCCTCAGAGGCGCCAGCTCCTAGGCTTGGGGCCCCACCAAGGGTGGGAGGTAGGGGTGGAAATGTGCCCTCATTCTTTTGTGAGTACGTCACTGCCTCCTTCAGCGGGCGTTTACGGAACGTCCCTCCATGCCAGGGCCTATGCTCGCTGGCTGCAGGGACACAGGTCCTGATGAATTGCACATAGTCCCTGCCCACCCCCCACCTCACCTGGAGCAGGGGGACAGTACAGACACCATGACGACACAGGGTGGTCCCCCAGCCAAGGGAATGCTTCTCAGAGAAGCTACTGTGCAGACAGGACAAAGGGCGGGGAGGGTGGGAAACGATGGGAAGGTGTGTTTCAGGCAGAGGGGGCAGCACAGGTCAAGGTGAGGACCAGCTGAGGGCACTTGGGGAACTGCAAGGGATTCAGGGCAGAAGGGAGAGGGGAGGCCGGGGAGGGGACAGGGGCTGCGTCACAAAGGACCTTAGTGGCTATGCAGAGGAGGTTGGGGTCCTCAGGCAGGCTCTGGGG